ATCCCTCTTGTGATTTCGGATCGCTTCGGGATCAACTCTAAAAGCTGTCTGGAGGGGGAATGAATTGAAAGGTCGATCTGGATAGAGTTTGAATAAAACTAACACTTTACCAAAAATGCTTGATACGACCGTGTTCTCTCATGAAACACGGTCCGGAACTAACTCTTATTAAGTTGAAAGGAGACTATTACGGTGCATAATTTTGGACTCCCTGCTAGTTTATAACAAATATATCTAAACGCCGCTGCCTCTTTTTCCATGATTGGGCTTTAGGAATATTCATAACAAACGATGCACAGTTTTCCATCAGTTTCCTAAGATACAACTGAGAAAAAATCATTTCTGAAAAATCTCAAGGCGCCATTTTTGGTCCTGCTTGAAATGCCGCAAAGCATAAACAACCGGGAGAAGTGTTGGGGACTGAAAAGCCGTGCAGCCTGTTTGTAAGCTCCATTGCGGAAGTTTGTAGTTGTTTCAAAGGCAAATAGAAAGTGGATGTAACACAGGGACAGCTAAAAGAGCGTGAGAGAAACTTTTGAGCACCAAAATTGATCGTATTTCTTCAGAAACGATCTGGTGACCAAGCTTGTTTTATTACTTTGTCTTCACGCCTTTACGGTCGTGGTTGCGTAACATAAAAATTTACTTGATTAGTCATTTAGGTTACATAGGAAAGAAGAACGTTGGTTGTCAAATTCTATAGGGGTACACAGGGAGAGGAGAGGGATCAAGGTCACTGCCGCAAATTTCCGTTGATCTTTTGTTACCCGGTTAACGTATTACGCCATGTTGTGGCATCACGAGACCTTGAGACCTGATTGTATTGTATACCATACAAATAAGGGATCTTTTATCGTATGCAAAAGGCAAGAAGTGTATGCTCGGAAAAGCTCTCGCTACACCTCACCTATCTCAGAACCAACCCCTTCCTCCTTGGGGGTTATGACTCAATCGGGAACAGTTCAAATCTGACTAATTGTAATAAGCTGACAAAGATGGGTTGGTTAGAAAAGATGGAAAACGATCTGAGTGCCCGCGCTGTGGTTGGACTTCAAATAGGATGTATTATTGACAAACATAGATATTACATTCTTTTTGGAACAATGCCCTCTACCGCTCCGTTGTATCATCAGCAAGCTGGTAAAGTTTATTGAAGAGTGCACCTTATCTGCCAATTAAAAATGAAGAACTCGGCTTAGTCGAATGTATATAGCACCATCTGGAAGTAATGCAAAGGTGCTCATATGACGAACGAACAGTTGATTCTCAATACTGCTGTTTCGGGAGACACAAGTGCAACGTAGACATTATTTGATAAACCGTAACGTTCAACACTATTGACAGGGATAAATGAAAGCGCTCCTTGACTAGCAGGATTTTTCGGCCGTCGAAAAAAGTACACGCGCTATCCATCGACGCGAAGAACACTAGAGGAATCAACAATCAGAGACCAAAAGGAGACATTAGATTACCCCAATACGAAACTACTAGGAAGAAGTATTTTATTCATAGAAAACAATAGTGAGAGGAGTGTTATCTCAGACCCGAATAGTAAAGCGTTAACTTCATAACCTAGCACCTTTGGGTTCTAGCAAGAGAACGTAGCGGTTATGTGGTGTGTTCAAGGCCTCACTGTGTATAGTTTCTGGCTGGTTGACATCGTATATTGGTATGTGCCAACAGCTCCCCCCTCCCGATGTGCTATGTGGAACGATGGAGTACATTGCAAGTTTGCCAACATCATCTATCATTCCGCGATCGATACTATTTCATTTGTCCGTACGTCGGAGAGGAAGTGCCATCCACGTCCAGCCAAGCTCGGCCAATCGTATGATTTGGAAAAACCTGATTCTAGCTGATTCGTTGCGTCCCCTGGACAGACCGACCATCGAGTGAGTTTAATGCCATCTCTCTATGCAAATAACGATACGGTTGCCTATTGTTGTTTTGTTTTGCACGCAACACATGGAGTATGATAAAGTATTGACAGATCTACCATCTTGGCTCAGGTTGACGACATTTATCGGCTTTTGTTTTTTGTGGTCTTATGTCAAGCCATTTCAAACAAATCTGACAGAATCATTTTCCGATAGCTTATTACATGTGCAATCATTCTCAAACCAATCCGGTCTCCGTTTGAATACTTCTAAATGCCTCGGTTGCAGTTTTAATCCTTCCCGATCCAAATATCTCCTGGAACCCTCAGTCATCGATTCCGTACCCATCACCAGAACACACACCACCGAGTACCTGGGAGTTACCATAGATAGCAATCTACGGTGGTCCTATGTTGGTAGACTGCGTCGCTTATCTTTTCAAATACGCAAGCTACGACAATTTCGAGTGAAACATGTTACTGTATTTTCCTTTGTTTAGTAATGTATTTTTCCTTTCATACTTTATTGTTCGCCCGTTATTTTCCGTGGACTACTTACAAAGGAATTCATTACTCGTCGTCGCGAGTTATTAATTATCAGCCGTGTTTCTCACATTCCTTTAGACACTCTGATCACAAAATTGTGTAATTTGCATATCACTTCATGTGAGAACTTCGCTCAAAAGAAATTCAATGACCCCAGTCATCCACTCAATCCCGATTTATCTGCTTGCCGTTCCCACGCTACGACCCGATCCAATTTTCGCTGCTTGCCCTCCCGCGTAAACATTTATCGTAACTCAACTAAGCTTGATGGGAAAAGGTAAAGTAAAGAAGGATCTCTGGTGGGACCCTGTTCTGCCACAAAATGATTTCTCTGCTTTGCAGCAGCTGATTCCAGAGTTTCATCAGCACGGACTGCATAGTTCATTTCAACAAGCGGTATGACCAATGCTGACCAACGTGAAATGCATTGCTGTGTTCTGACTCAGTTTGACCAATCATTCTCACTGACCTGATATCAGATCAACACTCATCTTTATACTTAGAGTGAGCGGAGTTAGACTGGACCATTTGTTTACAGCATTCACACATCCTCTTCAGAAAGATCCTTCTGGTTTCTCCTACAGTGCTTTGCTCAATTCTAAACAGTAAATAAATGTGAATGCAAGCCAAAGATAGTTCTAGTACTTAGATCAACATATTGACAGCCCTCCGAGACTACTTTATTCGGTGCCTACTATAACGATACACGTGCTAATACTGAGACCGAATCATTGTGTACTGCAGTAATCTGAGCTATAACCCGATCGGTCGTTCCTCTCAGACAGTCTCTGCTTTTCGGCTTTAAGAATCCGTGAACGCCGTACACCATCCTCAAGTAATAAAATTCACCCTATAATCTTTGAAGATGTATACCCAGTTGCCGAAATTCCGCGGTAACCGTTCGGGATTAAAAATCTGTACTGTTACCTCTGTGTTTAATCAACTTGACAAATTTGAAAGTTCTGGTAATGATGACACTCTCTTACCACAACCTTTTAACACTACGCCCCAGTAAATCACAGTATCCATCGGGGGGTTGGGATGTTCTTCTGTACTTTTCTACCCGTAAGACGCTTATCGTTTTTGGTCGGATTGAACTCCGATGGACAGAGCTACTAATGGAGAGACATGATTCTTCGGTGTGGTTCACATTCATGTGGCCTGGCGTTGCTTATTTGCAAGGTCCATCTTCCCGTATCAAGCATCCGACGGAGCAGATACGTGGGAATAACACTTCCAGCTCGGAGAACACATCAAGAACAATACCCGCATCCCGAGCAACAATCATTCCACATTATTTCCAACAACTTTTAAAGCGCTAATGAGGTAAACAATTGGCCTCTATTTTCGGTAGCAGAAGCCGGTTCACTTTGTCAATGGTCGTTCGACGCCGCTCACTATCGTGTTCCCATTGAGGGTCACTGTTATTCTCAAAACAGTGCTTCAATTATATCACAAGCTCCATCTCTGTATTAGGGATCCGTATAATCGATCCCATTGGTCACCCAGAATCCTCACATTTTTCTAAACACCCGTGAAATTGACTGAGGCCAACTCTGTTTAGGCGCAACCTGGAATCTTTCGGGTTCGGTTAATGGCGAACTCGATCAAACAGTTGCCAAGCCTTAGAAAATTGCAATAAGTTTCAAAACCATTCCTCTGAATAGGCGTAAATCCATGCTTGAAGATGTAAAATATTTTGTCCGTAGGTGTTCTTGTTTGATCAGGCACGTTTATTTGGGACAATCGAGGATCTAAAGTCATGTATAGCACCTCGACTGGCATTACCAACTTAAATAGGTTGAACATTTCCTTCAGTTCAGAAAAAGTATTTATATAAAAAAATTTTAAAAAATCAGGTGCTTCTGTGCAAGACACAAGAAGAAAGAAAGGCGGAAACCAAACATGAGTTGACTGCGGGAATAATCGTCTTGATGTTACATTCACCGTGGAATCCGCCAGGCTGATGCGGATAGATCGCAAGAAAACAGACCGGTTTTTGCTTTTGACCAATTGAAGTCGGAGTGTACAGATATCACAGTATAGGCTTTTAAAGTAAAGTAATAATAGCAATAATAATAATGTTAACAAAAGAATCATCCTGGAAATCACTCTCTGGGATGAATTCAGTCTAGATTGTACACTGACAGACAGACAGCCGGCTGGACCACTCTCAACTGCAGCGTAACCATTTGTTGTGACTAAACTGGTGGGACGCGGGGTTTGCATACATGTCCCAGTTTCTGTAGCTAGGTGTGCGTGCGTATCGGTACACGTACTGGTCGAAAACGGGAGAAGTAGGGGAATAGATGAAGTGGTACGTATAAGTACAATGTAGGGAGGGGGCTGTGGAACGTAGAAATTGTTTCCCGTCGATTTGTCATTGTATGCTTTTATATATATATATATATATATATATATAACTGATCTTTAGTAAGGTTGTCAGCCTATGTCATTCAAACACCGGTACAGCGGTAGTGGTACCGAACATGAAGAGGTGAGGGTGGGTAACAGGGTGAATTTGGATGCACCGCTTGTCACCATTGCGTCATTCCCGAGCAAACTGTCTGTACGTGTTTCACAGGACTGCCGGTCGTAGACGATAGAGGAAGAATTCGTACAAGTTCATGTCCTCGGGAGAAACGTAGTGGAACGTGACACTCAGACTGCTGCAGCATCGATAGCCCTGCATGTGCAAGAAAGATTGGGGTAGATATATCAGCTCTGGTTCATTTCATGCGACGATGAAAGATAAAATACGGAAGGGGAACAGATAAATCATCGGTGGTCTACGTGTTACTCGCGTCATCAAACATAGATCCGTCTGATTAGATTTGACAATACTGAATAAGTACGTATATGGTATATGAGAAGCACGATTCAGGCGTTGGAGAGTAATGCGAAAACCCCCTTAAAGTAACAAACAGTGGGTTCATTTGCTGTGCATCGATGAGAATTTCTTGTTTGAATTGTAAGTAGGCGTTTTTTCGAAATGGGCCTAAAAAGTAAATGAGACAGCTTAATAAGATTCTCGCCCCAAATTGCAAAAGTTTCCTACCAGACCACTTTCATTCACGAGTAGAATATAGAAAGTGTTCATGGAGCCCGTGGCACGGCACGACTGACGACTGAGTTTTCGACAGCCAACATTACCCGCATCTTCAGACCGTCTCGTTGTGCACAAAACCACTTCACTTCTTCCCGTATGTCCCCAATCAGGCTGCTAATCACCCTTTACCAAGTGTCTGTTTTCAATTACCGTAAGACTGGCATGTAACCAATAATTTTTCATAGAACGACTGAAGTGTGGAACACCTTCCCTCTTACCGTGTTGCCGCCTCGCACCTACAACCTACAGATCTTAGTGTATACGAAAGGAAATCTCAATTCTTCCTTTCATAATGCAACGCTTACCCATTTTACAATTGAAGCCATTTAAACGGGCGCACACCCGGTAGATACTTCTACATCGAGGTGGACAGACGACGGGACGACACGTTAGTTTGTCAACGATTTGACCAACCAATCACGTGAATGCTAGGTAGTAGAGGCAGTGAATCAACTGCTGTTTCTTCGTGGGTCAGTGGACCATAGTCCGTATGCATGCGACGTCTGTTCTTATGCAAGCCTAACCGGTTGGATGTGATCACGTCACTCTATCACTGGACGTCAAACCGGTACAGACCTAGTTGAAACAAAAATAGCCGTTCACTAATTTGGCGTTACCTCCCAAGCCTCTTCAGTTCACTTTTCGCTCCTATAGTTTTTCCTGACTGAATTTTTAACCCTCTGCATTTTCAAGTATCCATGGTATCATTCAAGGAATTCCCGGCTACTTTATTCCACATTCTACAAATAGTGGTCAATTAAAAATCGGGTATTGAATTATTCAACATATATATATATATACATCCTCCCAGCCTGTTTGACAAGCAAATCAATTATCCGGGGCATCAGCAAAGGCTGCCAACAACTTTATTTTCATAATTAGGGAATACACTGAACAAGGAGATGTATGCATTCGAGATCATGTATTAACCAGTAGATGCTAACAGAATTTTCGTTTAAACCGCACGTTCAGAAAGAACGCATTGACATACCATCAACCGTTCAGAAAGAACGGACCAGGTAATGGGAGAGAAAAATCATACACTCTTGCTACCATTATTCCAGAATATGGATTGTTGTGACTTGATGAAAAGTTTGACAACCAGGGGCAGTGACATTGCTTATAAGCCATAGTATGCACATTGCGCCGAGGTCATTTAATCACGCACGCATGTCACTCCAGTAGGGCTATTTCCATCGACACCGCCAGTACAAGACTATTTTACGACCAACTACTCCGGGACCTCAACTATCAGCTGTTCTGGTATGGATTGTTGTGCAACAACGTGAAGAAATCGATCGTCAAATAACCAGATGCGTGTATTCTCAACAAGCAATAAGCATCAATCACATTCAGCCGAACCGCCACAGTATTTATTAGGTCGGGGATACTACACGGTCAATCATTTTGATCTCAAGGAGGATGCTGGATAATACTAAAAATAGGAAATATATTCTGAACAAAGATACGCATAACAGTGGAAGATGTCAAATCAGTGTGTGGCTAACACAGTAATAACTCTCGCCTGCCTGTCCACTTCTATCACCTGGTTTGCTTCATCAATGGGATGTTTACCTATTCGAAACTGTGCTTTATCAACAACTGATGGCAAGCTCAACATAGTAATAGCATATCAGCAGTTCAGTGAAAAACTCATTCGGTACTGTTCTCATTCAAACGGTGCACATATCAATGAACTTACCGTGAGGACTTTGTGATAATTATACGCCCCGTACCATTTTGGATGGTCCTCGTTAACATGATTGATCATACCAATAGCACTGAATGGATGGAAACGTTCCAGACCTTTATCATCCAAACTGTCCACTAGTTTCACTCCTACCTCTTGTGCACAGGCGCCTAGTATGCGTGTGAAGGAGTGCATGACGGGAAAGGAAGCGAACAGAGAGAAAGCCGATGAAAAAAATCCAACCAGACAAGCAGCGTAAAACAAGTTCACCGTGATAGTGTTATGGTTGAGTACGTGTGTGAAAAGTTCAGGTCAGTGAACCTGTGTTACTGAGACGCAGCCGCTCAAGTGGCTGAATTGAACTGTGTCCACTTACCTTAATTATTTACAGTTTCGAATTGCATGCGACACTTGTATGATACAATAGGCCTTTGAGACCCATCACAGCTGCAGGTCATCGAGCGCGTCGCTGGGCCGCAGATAGGAGAACCACCACTAACGTTGAGAGAAATGAATAGACGGACATTGTCCCTCTCTATGGGCGACCATGAATTATAAGCGACCGCGTTTTACGAGGTGAAAGGTATCATTTGGCAAACATAGTTGTCTATAGAAAGCACCGTGGCTGGTTCAGAGCAGGATCCGTGACCAAATAAAGCCAGCGGCATTACCTTGTCAGCTATGCAAAGGGTGAGCTTGGATAAGCGGTGAAAGCCCCATGGTACTGGCATATTATCACACTTTCTCATGACTTCATCATTATTTAATCACACTTACCATCGCATGGGAGCTTCATTACTTAAAAGGCGAAAACGAGCAGGAGGCTTATGGTTTATTCGGGTCCTCATTCAATAAAACCTCCTGCAATAATATTGAAACAAAAGCTATACGAAGTGGAGGAGAGAAAAAGTGCAGATGTCTGAATCGACTGCATGACTGACAAGTCTTTGAGCTCACTGTGAGACAGAAAATGCAATGCCCAGATGAGAAGTAAATTTCTAAGTAAACTCAAATGCGTACTAACGCGATGCAATGGCCATGGTGTCAATGATCAAACGGTTTAAGTCACTGACACAGACGTGCTTAGAGCCCGAAGATTTGAAGTTTTACCCTAAAACTCCAGTTCAACTGTGGTGGTAGGTAGCTTTGCTATCGTCCAGATTAATACCGTGCCTAGTCTACTGGAACCTCGTGTGATTCATCGCTCCAAGGTTCAGGGCTTAGTGTGCTGGTTAATGAGAGTGAACAGTAAGTTTTGGTTACTACAAAATTTAGCCTTTGTGCTTTTATCGTATAGAATAAAATATAAACAAATCAACATTAGAACACAAATCCGAAGGTGAACAACTGTTCTCGCATGATTCATAAACGTGCCTGTACAGATCATAAAAGAGCTTGTTGTTAACGGGAGCATTTTCACGCTGGGTCGAAAGGTCATTCGGGATAGGGAGAGGAGAGTGGTGGGGTGAGCCCCAAGTGTCTGCGTTTGGGTGAGATCGATTGTGATTGGAATGTAGGTGTTGGTGATCAATTTGGGGCCAGGGCAAGTGGAGAGCTTGAACCAGTCGCTTTTGTATGTATAGTTCTGGTGCAAAAAGGTGAATGCCTATCGCCTAAGCGATGGTTAGTGGGTGTAACCGCAGTCTTTGAGGGGTTGGGGAGCACACGAGGATTCTGGTCTAATTTGATGGCCTGCATCTACTGGATGACCACTACTGGCGCTTCCTGTTCCGCTCTGGCATTGTAGGTCCGCTGCACTGCGTCTGTTATACGTTTGCTCAAGAGGTCAGATTTCTCATCTCCTTGGCAAGGTAGACCGGTGAATAGTTGCTTCTTCTGAACCGTGTGAACATGTTCGGATAGTGGCCTTTCCTGAACGTTTCTCTCAATGAACCGTTCAGGACAATCGTTTTCTCTGAGAACGTCCTTAATTTTTGTTAGTTTCTCATTTGACATATTGCCGGAGCAGATGTGAGACTCTGATTCACATTTTTTTCCTTTCTGTCTGCATATTGTTCCATCCAAGTTTATTTTCCACGTATTCGACGCTCTAAGGAACAATAATCTTTTCGAACGAGTGCCATGTCTAAGAAGGTCAGTTAGTCGTTTACTTCTGTTTTCAGCGTGAACCGAATCGACTGGTGAGCTTCAGTGAATATTTGGAGCACTCTTGTCAAGTTGGAAATGATGTGGAATGACTGTAGCTCGGGATGCGAATGTTGGTGTTGGTGAGTTCTCCGAGCGAGATGTGTTGTTCGCAGACGTATTGTACCCAAGCTAGGCATCATCATCAGTGCGCCTTCGGCTACGAGACATCTGCCAACAACACTTCAAGTTCGGAGAACTCACGAACACCAACTATTGTCAAATTTCTACCTCTCTGTGAACAACAGAGTGTGTCATCCCCGTAGTGGCAGCACAGGCTCGTTTGCTCTATTTCTTGCTTCAACGTTGTATTTTCTAATTTGAGAGACTATTCATAATTTGTTTCTGTACAAATGTCGTTTTCACTTTGTCTTCAGACATATTGATGACACATTGTCTGTATGTTGTCAGTGTGAGAACGACTCATACAAGGTCCAATACCATAGATTGTCAAAAACACATCAAAGTTGTCAGTATGACAAATAGTTTCGTTTCCTGTAACATCGATCTACAAATCAGTTGAAGAGATATAAACCTATCAACAACGTTCACAGATATATTGAAGCCGATGAAATTATGATCTCCTTCAATGTCACCGCTCGAATCACCTCCATTGGCCTCGATGTGACCAGGGAAACATTTAAGGAGCTGCTGNCATAAAATGTACTTCGCATTTGCCGGTAAAATCCACAGGTGACAGAAACACCTCTGTCATCATCAATCACCGGATTCATTTATGAAGTTGTGATGCGAAAAACTGAAGGGAATTCAACCACAAATCCGGTAGAAAGTTTGACTCAGGTACGCAGATTTTGTATTTACGCGGTGGTCCTGATTTCAAACCCCAACACCGTCACTCATCTTCCCACTGCCTTGTTTTCTTCAGGTTGCCTTTGTATGGCAGCGGCCCTTCTTATTAAAGTTCATTGCAGATTTTTATAATAATAGACAAAAACGAAAGTAAAAACAGTTATTATATTTATATTTTCCGAAGGGATGAAAAGTCGACAAAGCCTTCAACAGTATGAATGATATCTCCATGGGTATGAAGTTCATCGCGGAAGAAAACGGAAAGTTTACATTTCTTGATATCTTAGCATTAAGATCAGCAACCGGTGCATCAGAGACATCGGTATGGAGAAAGAATACCCAAAGAGAGTGGAGCTTGGGGTTTAAAAGCAACCACCTGGACTGTCAAAAGGAAAGTTGTACGGAGACACTTCGAATGGATGAGGGCAAATTGTAGCACCGAAAGGTAGAGGCGACGGGAGGACAAATCCCTCTATTTCTGTACAACGGTTATACTCACAACTACATTAAACGAACCATAACTTGAAAGGAATCAAACACAGGGACATACGGACAACCGATGCAATCCACATCTAATGTATTCTTGATTCCGGTCAGAGGATGTGGGCTGGTGTAGCGCTGGAATTGCGGAACCACGAGTAGCACGAGCCAGTTTAGTGCATGAAATGACACAAATCCATTCATTTGGCTGCGGTGCGTCGCTAGTATTTGCTTCGGAGCAAATCAAAAACCATCAGGTTAGGGCCGAGTGTGGGTCTTCAATTCATGATTATGTATATTTTCACACCTTATTGATTCCAGACTGTATGCCAAACGAATCACAGTACGATATCCGGTTCATCGGATCTTACAACCTGTGTACCGGGTCAAACGTCCAAGGTGTCCAAAACGTCTCGATACTCAAGTGAACCGCTGACCACTGCCACAACCAAAGAGGACGGGGTGGGGGTGATTAGTACGACACTTTTTGGTTGGTTTGAAATCAGGGGTTTTAGCCAACTCCCTCAATTGAACTGCCAGTGGTTCACCGACCCGGTTATAGCCCCAGATGTTGACCTTTTGTCACCTCATTTTAGTGGGAAAGCACTTCCGCCTAGGAAAAGCAGTGAGTAGGGCTTATTTATTTGGAAAGCTTGATCGTATGGGAGCATTTTGCGAGGTACAAAGGAATGGTGACCATCCACAACCCAAGACATCGATCCTGGCCACACTGAGGCTTTCGGAGCCGCAGGTTTTCATAACCAAACAATAGATAGTCATTACTGATGTGCATAAAACAAACAAGGGCAACGAAACATAGCGACAAGCATTTAACTAGGATGCAAGCGACATATTGGGATTAGATTTAATCACACTACGTTGGAGGAGAAACAATTCAGTCACGTAACATATAGTCTTCAATGAATCAATGTTCCGAAAAAGACACTGATGTGAGTATGGCTAAGCGAAATATGAAGCTTACCAATTCGGACATCTTCAGCACCGCCGGACACATTTCCATTGCAAGCGGGATTTTTATCCAATCCAGCAACAATCAGTTTCAGTGCGGATCGGGACAGGACGTAACCGCCACCACCGGAAGGATAACCCTGTTTTACATGTGGCTATTCGGTGATGTTCCAGATCCGAATGGTGAAGAACGAACCGGAATAAGACGTGAACAAAGTTGGAAGAGAGACATATATGAGGGTGGGGAAACAGAAAGAGAGAGGAAACGTGTGATTACACAGAGCTCGAGTTTCATCTTACAGAAATAAAAAAAGCTTGTGAATTGTAGACTGCCACACGTGTGCAACGATGGCTTGAACTTTGATATAAAAGAAGTTTCACTTTTAGTCAAATGCTTATTCGATTATTCAGTTTGAAGTATACAGGTGTACAGCTCATCCATCGTTCATACACCAATTTTTACAGATATGGTACTAAATTGAATAACCAGGTGTTGTAAACTGAACAGGACAGAATAATAGGGACTCAGGTAAGGTGGGGGGAGGGGTAACCAAACAGGTTTGGTTTGTTTATTGGCATCGCATAGTAATGACCTGTTCCGTCGAAATATATATATTCCGCGTTGTACTGGGATGAAAAATAAAGAATGTCATGTTTGGCAGTGATAAAAAACAAACTATCATTAATGCGGGTTTTTAATGAGTTCGTGTAGTGCATGCTGCTTCCTTAGAATAGGATGTTTTTTAATAGTAACAAGTTCACAAATATACTCGATACTCTGCAGTGAATATTAGAGCTGATGGGAAAATTCTTGAGCAGAAATATATATAGATAACACAGTCTCTTAACTAGAAAGTTCATGGGAATGAGAGAAACACGAGTGTTGATTATTGCCAAGACGCGGCAATGAAATCCTTTCCAAGAAGGCCAGGGACAACCTTAGGCAACAGTTAAGTATGGTGGGGAAACTGTACTGATAAACAAAAGAACATTTATTTGAATGGTTTTCCTTAAGTTTTCTCAGCATGTGTATCTGTAAGGACCATCGACGAAGTTTACTAATAGCTTTTTACACAGGAGGATCACCGTAGATTTCTCTCTTATCCCAGGTATTTAGTGATTTGTGTTCTATTTACGGGTACTAAGATGAGGGTCCAGGGTTCCTATAAACACTCAGATCGTAAGAGACTGAAAATGCATTCGAAGCAATTAGGAGTGGTCAGATAAAGAGCAGAATTACCGGAAAGGTTTCCGTATCTATGATTAACTGTCAGAAAACAAAGGCAGGTGAGATCGGTTTCAGATAGCTTGATGTAGAAGCACATCATCCCCACAATTAAAAGTCTGGGTCGGAAAAATAAAGGGTATCGAAGAACAAGTATATGGAAAGCTTAGCACACAAAAAGACTGCGAAATAATTGACTAACGGTTTAGAAACGACTCCGATTGCTTTGTTGGTCGAATCATTCCCGATAAAAGATTTTTCAACCACGAAAACAATGTGATAATGCATCCAAATGAATGTAAGCTTTAGATGAAAGCGATATCGTGGGACAGAATCGAAAGCTGAGGAATAATCAAAGATTCACTGAACCGACTTTTGCGGACTAAATATTTACAAACAGAGTGCATTAATGAAGAGACAGCTGAGATTGATGCGCACAACTTCGATTCCTCAGTGCGTTCTTTCATATCTGGGACGGCAAACACGTACTAGCACACTCCCGTCACTGACTTTCATTCAACGCAACATCCCGTAGTGTCTCCAACTAACACCAATCAGAATCTTTGGGGCCCACCTCGGAAGCAAAGATGCCCCGACGGAAGCAAGATTCAAACCGCCAAGCGAAGTCATTGGTTGCCCACCTTTTCCTTGCAATCTGATTCAATGTATGCGAATAAGGCACAGTAGGACAGAAGATAATCAGACATTTGTAGGACGGGCCTCAAACAGTTCAGACGATGCAGTAAAATGATCTTGTTTAAAGGAGGAATACCTATCCCAAATGCACATCGTCCGACCTATTTTTTAATTATACCACGCTTTCGCTTTATTCAAGTGATGTGCAGATGTCGATGATCGAAAAAAGATATAGATTGATCATAACTAACTTGGGTAAACCAAGTTTTGCAGAAGAAAAGTAACAGCAGCTTTGCTGTCATCCGGTTCGACACCACACCTAATCTAATGGGGCTTTATGTGGTTCGCCGCTCCGATTCTCGGGGCTTAGGTTACCGATNGAGACTGAGGTACAAGCTGTTCATCACACAAAAATGCGTAAAACTACAGATACCGTCATGCTATACCCCTTCAGTAAAACAGCAATGTTTTTTCATTCACATACTCCACGTTTACGACTCTGGCTACATTAGGAAGCTCGACGCCAGAGTTCCTTAAGCCGAGTGGTAAATATGTATAACATTGTTTACAGTGCATTTGAAAGTAAGTAGATCATCATCATCATTGTACAGCGCAATACAGTGAAGTGAACTCCACTGATCGCTGCCAAACTCATAATGCATACAAGTTAAGTAACAATGTGCAAGAAGGATAGGGATTGGACTTACTTTTAGGGACGGGAAAAGAAAGCGAACCTCTATGGTCAACACGTGGAGTACACAGTCCAACTGAGCATACATAATGCTTCAAGCATTCTGATCTGATAAGAAGTGACAGCAAGATCGCCATTGTTGTCGGTTCGTGGCCATGACCTTGAGTGTCTCCAACCATGCGGTTTCTAAGTCTTTAGAACCCCATCTCGGAAGACGAGAGACACCTATTCTACCTTATCACTCTGTACATTACTTCATGCCTCGTCTCCACGTTATCTGCTGGCCTCCATATGGCTTTCTCCAACCTGCAGCAGCCACCGCAAATAAGGCGCGCTGCGGTAGGCGACCGTCGGACATACGCAAAACGTGTCCTAACCAACGGATCCTATTGATCTGAATTCGATGCGATAGCGAGTTCTTGTTCGATGCATTCCAAAACACCCGAGGACTTACTTCTAAGTTAATTTCCATAGTGTTCCAAACGCTGGTGAATACTGCATATTAGCTTGTTGTCTACTTTGAAAATTGTTTCAACAACTGTTTCTTTCGTAGCTAGTAGATGAACTGGAATAGCCGCCGGATTTTTGTAGACGTAGCAGTTGATTCCGTCGCTTTTACAATTAACATCAACTAGGCTTATCGGTCATGTTTTAACATCTTTTTAAGTTCATACTGCTAAGAGAGGCACTGTTCATTGTACTCGCTAACCGCCAAGATTGTCCCACGTAAGTCAATGATTCTCAACGAACCAGAGAAAACCCACTGTCTTAAAGCTCGGTGAGTAAGGCCACAATCAAATCAGCCTGTTAGGTGCATTGTGTCTGGAATGACTGGATGGGTGGTTGATACGTTACGGTTAACCCGTTTCGATAGTCGACTAGCACGACGAGGTCGGAGAGTTTGACTATGTCAAGCTGTTAGCATCTCTTTTTTCTGCGGCCACCGAATAGCATAGGCAACTTGGAGGAAACCAGAGCGCGATCAAAGTCCAAGCAGACGGAGCAATAGAAACACACACAATTTTCATTTATAGTCTACTGCTTTCATCAATTTACTTTCACACCTGCTTCCGTGAAGATATACGCCATGTGGCTAAGTGACCATAGGAGTGTGTGACGTTTACTTTGGCGAGGAACACACTGTTTTTTGGAGCACAGGCAAAGAAGCCTGTGCCCATTGTCTGAACATTTTATTACGCATATTTGTGTGATAAGCAGCAGACGGGTGGACCCCATAATCATGAAGACCTGCTGTTCAACGAATATAGGCCGTGATGATCTCCAAAATAAGCCTCATCGGAGGACAGAAGACCAACGCGATCCCTAAGGTTTCCAGTCAGACTCACAATGTAGATGCACGAGTCCCATTATTAACAACACTCAGTTATTTCAATCTGACTACCATAACACTGATCACAAAGTCCTCAAGCACGAACCCTAACACGATCTGTGTGAGACCGAGTCCCAAGATGGTTAATTGGATCAGTGAACCGATGATGCGAAGAACGATCGATCCGAGTCACTCAATGGCCTAAGCAGGTTACTGGACATCGATGCGCTGTCCACAAATAAATGCCAATGATGATGACAGATATGCACTTCAATTACCGAGCACGGCGAGCTACTATACACACTGAACAACAAAAACAACTGACACTGCTTACGAGCCTGTTGAACGAAGATTGTTATTTTTCAGGTGTGAGCTCAACACGCGATGTGAATAAAGATTGTGTGCATGCGCGTACAGTGCTCGCCGGTCGTACAACGGTGATACGCGCTAGCTATCATTCAGTAAGTATTGTATACAACACACACCGTATAGCATAGTAAGAATGACCGCATCTCATGAAATCGAAACACAACCACATTCGTTGTGTGTGTGTATGTGATTCAATCAGATGCGAGCACGAAGAGAGGACGAATTAGTTAGTACAGAGAGTGTAATTGATAAGCGCAGATCTGAGATAATTGAACATCAAGAATGATGCATAGTGGAGGCGAGACAAGATCACAGGGTGGCACCATTTAGAACGTTTTGTTGTTGAACGTCGTAATGAGCTTTCAGTCACAACGGTGTCATCATTAGGTGATTAGTAAACTAGGTAGCCCGGCTGTATTTGAGGATCGAATATCGCTTCCAGTTAGAATTGGCAGCAACTTTCCTCGATCACACGATAGAACACATCACCATAGTATAGAAAATAAATACTACTAGACGTAAATTTCTCTTTGACTGAAAGCAAANCAATTAAAGCGTCCGAGATGCAGCTACGCACAATGTGCCGTACATGGGAGAAGACTTCGAAATTGAGTGATTGATTGAGTGAATGAACATGAATCATTAGCCACAAGATTTTATCACTAGCGTAATACGCGTTCCTTCTAGGAATATCGACAATACTTTAACGGAGAAGAATGTGAAAAAGTAAATTTTTAATGTTTAGAAATAAAAGGAGATTGGCGGAAAGCGGTTTATGAATAATCGGTTTCAGTATCATGTACGCAAATCAAATCCATGGAAATTTCCAATGTTGCTATTGATTCTAAGATTGATGTTCAGCAATCGATGCAGGTTGAGGGACGAAATGCTCGTGTTTCACAAACTGCACTCAGATATTGTTGATGTTTGTTAGACAAAGCAGCCTCAAGCTGTCATACACTGACCTCGATGAACGTTGTGCGTGTATTAATTAAAATCAAACGATTGTTTACTCGCACGCAGATGTGGCTTGAAACAAGCGACATTCACGTGCAAAATTGCCATATCGCGCTCGGGTGCGTCGATTCAACATCATCGCCGCCACCACCACTACCGAGTCGAAGTTTATCTGGGTGCTGACCGGTTTTAATCACATAAAAATGATCCGTGACAAGTTTTTCAGCTGTATACAGTGACCCGATTAAAGGTGAATCCGAATTTGTTAGAGAGGGAGAGTGAGCGAGTGAAACAAGAGCAGCTGGAACCAGGTCAGTGAAATTAGATGACGGAATAAACACTTTCAATCGGAGCTCCTGATTCAAACAAGCTTCCGGAACCCAGAATACAGTTTATCTCTCTCTATTACGGGATGTACTGAAGTCCATCCTAATGACGTACATTAGCACAAAAGCCTGGAGTAGGAAACGCATGCGTAACACTGCTGCATTGGATGAATCAATGATTATATATACTGTGGGCTGAACAGCGTACAAGAGCGGACATCATATGGAAGACGGACACACAAACACCTTTGGCATAATTTTCGGCTACAAACCAACGGTTACTGGTGAGGTGAACAACAATGTTACATCAACCATGAAGTGAAAAAGGAAAAATAAAAGGTTTTTCTAATGCCTCATAACCAGCGACTGAGTTCGGAATTTTCATATCGTGTTATAACCCTTAGTAGGTGACTGTTAAAATGAGCTACGTGACATGCTCGCAAAGAAGAGTTTCAAAGATGGGTGGTGCCTTTTTGCATATGGACAAAGTAGTCTGAGTAGCTACTCGGTGGTCAAGTGGGTAGTACGCTTGCCTTATCTATGAAGTTTCGGGGTTTGATCCCCCCAACAGCAGAGATAAAACACGTGTAGAATGCTCGTGAGATTTTCAGTTCAACTTTTCTGTACTGTGCACAAGACTAAATTCATCGTAGTTTCCTACCGTCTTGGGCTTTCTTCCACTTTCCTTCAGCCTTTTCGCATCAACCTTGAGCTAATTTAACGACAGACTAATCGGAACAATGTTCATGCAAAAATAAGGCTTAGGATGACATCTGGTATGCACGTGGGCGGCCAGTTCATAGCAGATGCAATGTGCATTCTGTTCGCATGGGTCAAGCATATCACTGAACGGTGGTATCGAGCACCCCGTATCACACACACGTAACTGAAGGGATGGTGCTTACGNGGGGGGGGGGGGCTGTTCAATACAAGATGAATGGACTTACTCGCCATCGACGACCCATTATGATTGGGACTTCGGGATCGTGATCTTTGAGCAAATATCGCAAATTTTCCACAATTGTGTACGTGTCATCATCGGCTTTGAGGAAAAAATCGTAATCGGAATACCGTTCCAACGCATGATGTAAGCCAAATTTGGTTTTCGTCCACAGTTGATCACGACCCTCTGTTTCCGTGGCAACTGAAACAGCGTAAATGAAGGACAAATACTGAACACCATGTGCGCGATTGTTGAGCTGTTAAAACATTGAGTGTAACGCTTGAACGCACAGAAAAGCAAAAAATCAAAACATTCTGAGGAAATATAAGCTATGGTGAACAGGATGACAAAGAAGCTGACATAACTTTGAGGGAAGGAAGCGTGAATTGCTGTACTGGTTGAAGTATGGATGACCACGGATTGCGAATCATGTATTAGGAATCACGGGGACCCACGGAATCACTGAGTCACACTGGCACTTGTACCCCACGTAACCGAGACGCAAGGAAAAGACAGCAGAAGCAGCAGTTCATTCGTTGGGAGAAATCAAAGGGTTCAAACCCTTTGATGCACAAAAGAAGTTTTTTGGTTGTCCAGTTATCTACCAATCGCGTGCTCCTATTCTTGGTATCGTACAGCTTCTGTCTGGACCACACGGCTCCATGTTGGTTGGCACAATCGTCCTATGGTTCGTTGTCCAGAAGCGGTAACGCGTAGGCACTTTGCAGACGTCATCTGGGAAGCTTGAATCGTCACCTTTGTCCAGGAACTGTGACTTGTTGCCCCGAGGTTCGCATCATTCCGTAAACTAGGATCACCACACTTGCTCACCGCAAAAGATTGACAACCGAGGATAGTCATACGAAAAGCCTGCATCTTTCAACAGTTGCATTGTTTTCGTACTCGTAAGACGGTGACATGAGCATCAGGCTGTTATCGTCTAATTCGGAAACATAAAAATCTATATAGTACCTCAATATCAACCGTTTTCTTTTGTAACCCATACATTTAACAGAACGTTTACTTAGAAAAACGGCTATCCATTTTATGCACCAACTAGATGAGTTCTCGATGAGACGGAATGGGGTTGATCGGTTCTTTACCACTCATTCAAATAGTTAATCTATCGCGGACAACCCTCATCGAAATGGCTAAACACAAAAACCCCTACCCGCGCTCTAAATTCACTCACACTGCGAAAGCCATACAGTTACATCAATCAGACACATCTCGTGTAGAGGAATATATATTGCATTGAGTATGAGTAGCGCACATGCCTTACTGGACATTTTGCACATTAAGAGCGTCTGTGGTAGGCCGCTTTTACTAGAAGTGGTTTGACATCCCCAAATAGGGCTCTTTTGCAGCACGAATCTCGAGAGCACGAGGATCGTTTGTGGAGCAGACATCTGCTTACTGGAGCTCAAATGCATGCACAAACCGCCTTAGAGAACTCGATGAGCAAAACTCACACTGCGTCCGCCCTGAAGGTAACTAAATGGCCAAAGCTGAAATAGCCGTTAATACATTTTGCAATGAATGACCGGTGATCACAAGGACGAAATTGGACTCACTGTGTCCGATTCTGACATTCCTTGTCCCATGATCGCCCGTCGATAGCAAATCCGATAAAATGAAAAAATCCACCTTATCTATCTCATCAACTAAAGTTCTTCAACGGGACGATAATGCAGAACATTTCAATTTCGTACGTATTTGCACAAAATGTCTATATCTTTCATTTCACAAATCACTACTGGTCTGCAATATTTTAATCATATGAGGAAGAACAATCAATGTGAACTATGATGTCGAACTCACATGTTCCTGTCACTGGGAGATGTCTTGAAGGACTGAAGACTGTTTTAAGTGTGCACCCCAAAAAATACTAAGGACACATACCAATGGAGAGTAGCACCTCCGGACTACTGTATAATTATAGGCTGCTAAGTATTTATGAATTACGGTGCAAATACCCTAATACATCGTTCGGACACAACGGACTACTACTTCCTGTCAATTTCTTCCTTTGCCTGCTTGAAATCATATTTGAGAAAATATACCGTATTTAGACCATATGAGAAGGACCAAGAGAGACAAACAGACACCGCTCGAAAACCAAACATACTCGAACAGAACAGACTATTAACTGACAAACGTCATAACTTGTGGGACTGCAATTGGGATAAATAAACAAAACTATCGATTTTACAGACGCCAAGCTATGAAACCAATACTGAACAACTGAATAACTTTGTTATAGGGCGAGCAAATAAATAAATACACCTGAGTGACTCTCACATAACTTCAGAAAACAGGACGATCCATCGAATAAAATATCAACCAACCATCAACATCGTCAGCGTACAGCGAAATACAGTGAAGCGGACTTCTCTCATCTGTGCCAAGGTGACAAAAAGAGGTAAGAATGAACCATTTGTTTGGTAGAGTCTAATTCATGTGCCCAAAAACTTCCCTGACCGCATGAGCTAACCCGTTTGTGTGTAAAGGCAGCTCAGGACTAGCCTCACTGTTGTTCCCAACCCTTCACCGTTTATCTCGACTGGTAAGATTGTCCCGTGGATAATCCAAGAAGGCATACTTGAGCTTTTTGCTTTGAGTCAATGCACGCCAAACTATGCCAATGGGATGAATGTGTTCGACTACTGTTCAACACGGGAGGACTATCCCACTCGGGTAGCTGAATCACAGCAACGGTACCGGACACATGACTCGTTTTCGTGTGGCCATCATTAGACTATCACCCGAGTCATCTATTTCTGCCTGCATAGGGAGGATTGCGTCAGCTCAGTCTAAAATGATCGGATAAAATAACTTCAGTAGTGGTGACAATGTGATGAGTTAAAAACACTGCTCATCGGGGTATCTGAGAGCCTGTTTGCAAATGTTGGCTAACCGGACTTTTAAGCCGTGTGTTTCACCTTGGCTCAATCAGTAGATCTGATGAATTTTGCATACTTCCTTGGAACTAAAACATAAAATATAAAGATTTTTCTTTTCCGTAAGACGCAGACCTCTCCCTCGATTCCATCGTATTATGTGTTTAGCCAAAACGGAGAACGAAAACAGCACGCCAGTCTTTGTAAATATATAATGATAAAAATTCATTCTATTGGGTGCACAAAGCTTAATTTGACTTAACTACACAGAGTTCGCCGAAAATGTCCAATGCATTGGGAGAACCTTTTGCAAGTTTCTAACTCCCGTTTGGATCGATTGGCTGGCCACGCGCAGGGTAGACATCTTATAGGCGGGGAAAACGGAACAGAAGCGCAATCAAGGACGCTGTGTCACCTCGTTCCTGTTGGCTGAACCACGCGCCACGATTCACCTCACCCCACACACAAACAAACAAACAAGAACACATCCACAGTACGCACGTGATTCAGCAACTAATCAATGCCTAACTGTTTCCAATTCGCATCTCTTCCCCTATTTTTCTACCCCTCAGCTTAGCTTGACCAACTGTTCACCCACGCGCTTGCATACCCCAGGATTTCGACATGCCGGTGTGCCCATTTGGGTTGATGAGTTTGGCTAGTCGGTAGATGAAGCACGGACGCAAGGTCTGTCCGCGTTTTTGGACGGGATATTGCAAGACAAGAAAAAATTTGGCTACGGAGTAACGTGATACGAAGCGAAAAACGCTGCAACGCAATAAAACTGGTTAACGCATAGGGTCACCTTAAACTACTGACTGTCAGCGCCAAAGTACACATAACCCAGACCGTCCCGTCGAGCCATCCTTCCTGACACATGGTAACGCCTGTATGTCACTGGACTTTTAGTTTCATTGCGTTTTATTTGCTTTGCATTGTAGGTTTAACTTTAAGCCCGACCAACGGAGGACCTGTATGCCAGTGTTTCCCCACCTCCCCGTGTCCCGGTGGCCCAGGCTCCTTACGCCGTTGCCGCAGTCGTTCGTCGCGCGTGAAGCCTCGACTCGTCTCCAGCTACGAGAATACGAGCCGAAGTACATCCTGTCGAGCATCTCCACCTCGCAGCGCTGCGAGAGCCCCGAGTATGTTCACATTTCATCACGCACTTGGGGCGAATTGGAATCGCACCACAATACACCCACAGCTGAATATCTTAAAAGGGCCTGCCCAACGGCAATAAAATGAAGGACACGGGTAACTCCGTTGATTAAGTCAACCTGTAGTTTGATTTCACCAAGACCTAGCTTTGTTTGGGCAACTTGTGCCTTGAGAAAATATATAGACCCTGGGTTGGTGGGTATTTACACTATCAGCAGGCGAAGCGACAAACTTCAACCTTGAGGTAGTACGATGACTCGGGCTGTTCTCAACACGTCAGCATAACAGCACCTTACTGTTCGAAACCGATTGTATTCACACGGAGCAGAAATGGATGAACCGCGAGTGTAGCGTCAACAACCAAATGTTCTACACATGTGAATCATTCTATCGACTCAACAGAACCCGGGGGGAAACAACAAACCCTAGTCTCACAACATATTTATTGCCATTTCTATGGACGACACTCAACTTGAAAATAAAGCACTTTATATGAGAAATTTTTTATGTGGATAAGCAGGATGTGGTGGCTAATAATTGTTTGACATCCCAAAAGTGATTTCCTAGGACAGAAAAACTATCGGTATGAACTTACTATCGATTTGCGGGAGGTGCCTGCGTCCCCCTCTCTCTCTCTACCGAAACAATTCGTATAGTGTTTTCTTGAACTCGAACGTATGGAGATTTAAGTGATATAATCACAAGACTGGGATTGTAACTCCTATCTCAAACGGAACTGTTAAGCCATCCATACCCTCACAGTTGAAGCATCCAGTTCAACACTCAAACCAGACAAGCTTCTATTCGACATATGATCTTAGTGTGAACAGATTGCTCCNCCCCCCCCCCCCCACACACACACACCAGAATTGCCCAGTGTTGCGCAGTCACCCTTAGGAACAGGAGACAAACCACCACATCTGTCTTAAACTTTATCCTGTGAGAGCAAGCTTTGTGATGTACGTTATGCAAATATGATCCCTCTAGGAGGGAGGAGCTGAAAAAAACCACCGTAACAGAGCAAAACAAACGTCAGAGAGACATTTCCCTATAGACTCTAGAACTGATGTCCAGTGATCCCTTGCAAATACGAAATGACAGATAAGTGGGTGAGCCATAACAAAAACAATTTCGTGACAGTTTTAAAGACAGCGATATGGAAACATGCAGACTAGCTCAGAACTGTGCCATGTCGCGCTGGATCCAAGTCAACGAGACGAAACGCAAGGCAGTTAAATATTTTAGAGTTGGGTAGAAATTTACCGGTACACGATACTTACCGACCGAATGCAATGCTTCATCATTCACGCTACTGAGAAAATAAAACACATCACATCGTGGTGCCCACGTCCTTCGTACGACTGAAGCTTTTTTCTCATGATTGGCTGGCATGGTCATAATCATGCACACCAACCGAATCGACTGGGTCCCGTTCTTCCAACTGTTTCCACCGGCTTGCGGAAGTGGTTAATGTGGCAGCGGCAGAGGGAGGGGGACCAAACACAGATATATTAGTACTCCAGGGAACCAGACGAAGCAGAAATGAAAAAAGTGCAAAACCCAGACCATCTCCGAAGCTCATTGAAATTATTTCACAACGGTGGTTCGTGTTTAAGTATGTGAGAGAAACGTTCTATACTAAGAGGGTGGGATAGAGCGTAATTCGACGCACAAGTACGCATAACATTATCCGTAAAACTTATGGTATCATTGCGCTTCAGACTACACGACTTCTGTAAACCATTCACGCGGTTGTGCATCAACCTTCTTTCGAACTGAAAATTATTCTAACCACACACATACGAAACTCTAGACTTAGCTAATCAGTACATTTTCCAGCCGATACAAAAAGTGATAGCAGTGGCAGCGAACAACAGTTTGTTTCTCTTTGAGAGCAGTATGGGAAAACGAAGCAGAATAAATAAGAAAACAAAACGGTCCATGTGAGGCAGATGAATGGAGGAAGACCTATGAGGCATACAGCACTTTTCTTACATGAGATGGATATATCCAACGGCTGGGTTTTATCTTCCGCATAGAGCACGGGAATCGATCCCTCGTACTGGCGAGCCAAATGCATCCCAAATATGATTCCAAAAAAGAAACCGGACGGGAGGGCCAACCAATAACGTATGCCATACAGTGTTCCGGTGATTCCTTTCATGGGGCTGAGCAAGATCAATTTTGAAGTGGAAATATGCAAGTTGTGTCACGTGAAATAGCATCCCACACAAAGCTGATTCCTACTACGGACCGGTCATTGTTAAAAAAATATAATCTATAGTTTGAGGTTTAAGTTTCCGTGGCAACGAACAGCTGTACTGTAGTGGACAAGATTGCGCTCAGGACATCAAATCCGTGAGGGTGATTTCAAATTTCAGTTTAAACAACCCATAACCATGGAGTGCCGGGTTCTCATTTTGATTGTCATCTTTTGGCCACTCGTCTGACCAACTAACGAGGAAAAACAGTGAAATTAAGTAAAAGTGTTTAGAGTTGCGAACATGTAGACAAAAATGGGAGTAAGATGAGTAGAAAGTAAAAAGATGCACAGGTACCAAGGTCCACGATAAAGTGATCGATGAGATCGATACCGAGGTCACCAAATAACCCCCCTCTCCCACAACCTTTTCGACTAAGTCCGGGTTTTAATACCTTCCCATTAGTTCATAGTCTGGTCAGCCTTGCTCGTTTTCCAACCGCTATCAATCACTTTCGGTATCAATGTTTGATTAATTTTGTCCGGCAGCATACGTAATACATACACCCCCTGGTCACAGAGCTCGGGTAATCGATGGTTATAGACATTGAGTGAACAGTGAAGCTCATGCATCTACTCCATTCCCTTTCAATCTTAATGTACATTGATTCTTTATTTTAACGTTGACACTGCTTTCAATAATCCAATCCTCCTTCTGTTCGTTCACCTAAATGAGTAACGAAGAAAGACAAACCAAAACCGCCGCCGGAAAGTGTATAGTTGCATAAACTGGAACTGAAGCGAAAACTATGCGATTGATTTTCAAGAAAAAAGACGCCAACGATTACGGGGGAAGAGAGACGTGCACATCTTACTAACCGTACGCTGCGTTAATTTAAAAAAAGTTATGACATAAGAATAGGCGAAGGAGACCGCCGAATTTGAACAACAATGCGTGCCACGTCTGTCCCTGACTTGAATGTGTTCACTGTGTTTCTAGGACGGTGAAATAACTGCGCTTTGAACACCCTAGAGCTATTTACTGAAACCTGATAATAAAAACCATTCAACTTTATTCGGAGTGCAAAACGTTACAGACACGCCCGAGAGAATTGAAGATAATCAGTGACTTGCACTCTACTCGAGGCGTTTACAAAAAAATTTCTTCTGGAATCGTTCCTTTTCGCAGCGTTATTACTTGTAATAGATGTTCCCAATTAGAAAGCTTTCATAAGGTTATGATTAAACCGCTGAACTCAACATAAGTTTGTAGGCTTGGATATTCAGAAATGAACTCGTGAAAAGGTAGGTAACTGAACGGTGTGCATAACATCCACCGTGATCTGTGATGTTTTCGGTTTTTAAATAAGGCAGAGCTGACATTTTAGACCAGATTTTACTTGAATGATTATGTTATGCCTACGTGTTATGCCACGTTCAAGAAGAAACCCATGTTTTGAAAACTTCACTGTGTATTCAGAATTCCAGACTCCCATGGTGCGTCATGTAGTCTGTTCATAATTTTCTGATGAATGAGACATTCATTTTTGTGGTTGCTGTTGCAGCTCAAGTGGACGAGCTCATTCAATTAAGCAGAAGCTCCATGAAAACTATGGCCAGGACTGACTTCTTCAATGTTCTAGTTGTAAATTTTCTGTGTTCTTATGTTAACAGACAAAAAATATCGACAAGAACCTAAATTATTTCGTTTCAAGCCCTAGTTCAGGGGCTTTAGAGACGTTTCAAAACTGGGCTTGATTTCCATGTAATAATGTAATATCTTAGTATTCACATCATCAGGAGCCTTGAAATGAGAACGGATTCGTTGCTGTATAATATTTCTTTCCGGAGTTATGAGGGAGGGTGATCGTGCGGATGAATCATCTTTCGAGTCGCTTCTTTCTTTTCGTAATTCTGCTGTTTTTGTACGGCGGCAACCAATGGTTTGCCGAGACACTAACAATTGTAGAACGTCTTATCTTGTTGCTGCTAACCGATTTGCATTATCCCCCACACTTCGTTTGCCGTCTCGAATGTACAGAAGACGCGCCAAACAGTTGACAGATTAACAACTACAGTTATTCTCCTTTCGAGACGCGCATTTTACTTTCAAAGTGTACAACAATTTTGCAAAAATGTATGTTGTCTATCTCGACTTAACCTTCTTAGGTAGATGAGTGTCGAATAAGGTACCATAATAAAGAAATGAACCACCGGCGTTCCGAAGATACGAGCAGCGTACACACCAGCGTACACCAACGTGATGTTTCCTTGAGGCTGAAAGGCCGCCTATACTGCATGAGTGTGTGTGTGGTCAGCTGTAGTATACGGTTGCGGGACCGCGAATCCGCGCGTGGAAGACATTCATCGTCTACGAGGTAAGTCACAGATTATTTGGGAATGGTTTGGTGCAGAATTCGCTATCATATCGAATTCAGATAAATAAGCTTCACTGGTTAAGGCACGTATTGTGCATGTCAGGTGTGGTCTAGCGCACCTCGCCTTGTTCACTGTTGCTGCTCCAGGTTGGAGGAAATTCCATGACGATTAACGAATTTTTCGGAGATGCACAAAGAAATTCACAAAGCTATTAGGTCAAGTGTCTCCCTTATTCCATGTTAGGGTTCAAAAGAATATGAGACTGGTTAGTGGAGCTACTGAAGGATGGCAAGTAACTGACAGTCGTGGCGTCATTGATGGGATATTCTCCCATACATCTTTCGTCTTACAGTATGTCCTTGGTCATGAATTTATCCCTTTTGCTAAAAGTCAATGTGTAATTAAAAAGGAGATCACATCAAATGAAGTATTTTTCTTTTCTCTTATCTATATGGACTAGCTTCCCTTGACCTTTTGCTAAGGGTTTCAGAAGTATTTTAACATTCGTCGCATCACTTTGAGCTAAATTCTTCTTCTCTTACTGAATTTAGCTGATCAGTGTCAGATCAAATACGCATTTTTCGTGCATTCGTGGCATTGTCATGCCTGATTTCATAATCATCATCAGCGAAATAAGGTAAAGCAAACTTCACTAAATGCTGCCAAACTCGCAATGCATATAAGATTGGTGGTAATATGGAAGATGGACAGGATTTGGACCTATTTTGAGGGAGTGGAAAGAAAGTAAGCCTCTATGATCAACACATGGGATACACAATCAAACTGTCCATACATACCGTTTCAAGTATTTTGGCCTGATAAGAAATGACAACAAGAACGCCACTGATGCCGGTTCGCTACCATATCCTTCAATGTCTCCAACCAACCATTTGTGGAGTCTTTCGGAACCCCAACCTGGAAGTCACAAAACAGATTTGCTAGGACCACCGGAAAAATTCGTGCTCCATCAGTATTTTTATATATCTAAAGAGGCACAAAACACTAGAAACTACGTGGTGAAAGGACCGAGAGAGCTGTGAAGTAACTTTTTCGTAGCGTCTCATTGTGATGTAATCTGATATATCAGTCTTGCTTTGATGTATTTATGTATCCTTTTTACATCCTTGATACCTGTTGACATGCATATGCGCATATTGGCGACCGCATTTACCCAAGAAAAATAGAGTGCGCAAGGCTCCCGGCCATGTTGTTGCCTATTTTATTCTATGACAATTTTGATACCGTTTTGAAAATAGAAACAAATCACAGGAGTTAAACATTGAAAGATAACCCAAAAGTTCGCATAGAGGAATCAAAGTCCTTGATGTATCTAAGTTGCGATCTAACTTAGTTATTTGTTATGCATTTACATGCAAAATATGCGAGTTGTAACAATGTAGCCAGTTCACACTTTGCACCTTTTTGTTGAACGTCATTTACACTATTTTATCCATTTCATGTAACTGACAACGATTAATATCGTCTGCTGACCTGAATCACTTACTCTACTATTTTCGGCTAACGTCCCACCTATTCCGTATAGAAAGAAGCACTCTATTCTGTCACACATTCACTGTTGGTTATTGGGGAATGGAACATTCCAGTGTGTACTGCTGGGTAACAGCAACATAAAAACGAAAAGAAATAGATTAGAGTAGGATTTTCACATGTATGGGTAAACAGTCGCATGTACATTACATTTATATAGAGTGGGAGGGGTAAATGAAAGGGTCGGAGACTTATGCGGAGTAAATCCTCAGAATCAACTACAAAGGCAGGCTCAAATTACTAAAACTGCTCTCGGAGACTCTGTTGACGGTTATTCTCGGTGATTTGGGACTGTACACATGTACGGAGTTTACGCTACGTGGCTTCAACTATACACCCGCTAATAGACTAATACTGCGGAATGTGGGAAAATTCACTTGGTGTATCGCCTTTCCAGAAAGACGAAGAGAGCTGAAGGTGGCTGGTTCAGGAGGTTTCGGATGTTATGAGATAGATTTGAAGGGTATGGGTCTACCGCAATAAGCCAAAGTTGGCAGGAGAATTTGGCTGACTAGTTGAATAGCCATTTCCATCGCTTGTT